ATGCACGTGTTATAGTTGATTATATATTTCCTACCTGTTCTATGTTAAATTTTGTGTATATAGTTTTGTTTTTGTATTTTATTGTACCCTTTTGTATCAATGCAATGTTCTGTGGACCCAGGACATACTTGAAAACTAGAGAAATCTCGATGTATTTTTCCTGGTAAAATATTTTATAAATAAATCGTGTTATATAATCTTCATGGAGAATAAGTCAGTAAAATTATGCAGTCAACAATTGAATTGATCTTTGAACACGTTACTTCAGATCTTCTTTTTTTTAGCCAGCTTTAAACAGTATAAATTAGTATGCATGGTTAAGAATATTATTGCTTCAAAACAAAAATCTATTTCAAGTTGTACATGTTACCTCCTGCTGCCCCATTTTTTTTTTGTACACATAGATGACCCTTTGCCAATCTTGCAAATCTTTTCCACAAAGTAATCCATTAATATATAGAAAGCTATTAAGTTAACAAACGTGTCTTTGGATGCAGACATGGTCCAGATGACTGGCATTACTAATAACTTGATGTCCTTACATTTTTTATTTATTTTTTTACCAATATTTAGTTATTTACTATTATTTAAAGTATTATTTTTCTCCACCAATCATCTTTTTGACACTTGTACAGCATGTATGGTGATATAATATGTATTTGTTTCCCATAATGCATGGCTTGATGAATGCACTGCAATATGGGGACCCATAATATCAGGCAGTGCTGGTTTCAGTCTGCCCAAGGTAAATTAAAGGTATGTTCCTGAATAACAGCTGCTGCTAAACATATTAAAGGAGCCCTAACATTCAGATTGACATCAACATTATAAATCTTGCAACATTGGTTTATGCACTAGTATAACTGCTATTAATATCGAAAATGTATTCATATCACTGCAATGTCAACAATCTCCTAATGCATTTTATTTATAGTGCTACATTGTATATTTTATTGCTTAATTCATGTTAATTACCTAGCTCCTCTACAGCTTCAACAGCACTTCCATAATCCAGGGTTAATTTAATGTAAAACCTACTCCTGCCCCTGCCTTGTGATAGAGAAAACTTTTACATTTCTATGCCAGGAATTAAGTGACATGCGAGGTAAGAGCCATAGCTTTATATAGATATCTAGTATAAAATGTAAACATTTGCCAGCAATTACACTGGGTGAAATGTTATGTACCTTAATTTTGTACAAATTTTCTTATACGTTACTGGTATATGTTAATTCTTTGAAGACAGCTGCTGATTTTCTATTAAAGGCAAAAATGCTATTCTAATTTGCCTGATACGTACAACATCCTGCATCTCCATACCAATTACAATTTAAATTCACCTGTTGTTAATATGTTGACTAGGTGTTGGTTCACACCTACAGTATAGCCACACAGCGAGTCTTTCACGCAGGTAGTCAATCACTTTAGACTTTATTAGAGAGCCTTACCCTAAACTTCCATCAGAGAGCTGCTGTTGGTGACGTTGAGAAAAGTAACCGCTTTAAAAACCCAACCATTATTCTGTTTAATGTTCGTCTTTTTTTTTTTTTTTTTTTTACTGATCTATTTCTTTAATTCTCAATGTTACATTTTGTGTGTTTCAGGGTATTGTTCAACAGTTTTTGATTTTGCTTACCACAAGTACAGATGAAAGCCTACGGTTTTTGAGCTTTAGATTGGACTTCAATGAACATTATAAAGCAAGAGAGCCAAGGCTACGTGTATCACTCGGCACTAGAGGGAGACGTAGCTTACACGTATGAGAAAACTGACACTCGGTTAATTACTACAAACAAACCAAATAGTGTGCAGCGCTTAGCTTATGTTATTTATGCAGGCAAGTCTTTAGCATTTCAGTATGTGGTTGTGCACAGCAGGGGATAAAGAATGCTACAAAATGGGTCTTTTTATACATTGTGGTCCATTTATGGAAACAAAGTGGATCTGTTTACACTGTAAATTTCAGTAATGTATATTTTTATGAGAGACACCTTTCTGTTTGTGGTTTTTAAATTTTGTTAAGTCTTTATTATTTTGAAGGAGAAAAGAAGAACAAAAACAACCACACACGTCCATGCTACAAATGTTCATGTAGTCCTAAATTTGTCTTGTTTTAAAGGATATAGAATTTTCAAATATTCATTTTAAGTGTTTCACCAAATCTGGTTTCATAACACCGCTGTAGAACGCAGATATTAATTTGATTTTCATTGTTACATTTGATTTAACAGTGTGAATAAATGACACACCATTGGAATATCATTGCTCTCATTGCCCATTTTTTCATGTTTTTATTTTTCTAGAATTGTGTATCAATATCACTACATATATATTAGAACTAAAATATCAAAAATGTCCTCTGAACATTTAAAATAAGTTCATTGTAATTGGAAGGAGTGGAAATGAGTAATGGAGCCTATGTTTTGTCTATTTTTCCATTGCAGATATTTATATATTGCTAGCCAAAAGGGATAGTAACTTTTGTTTCTTGAGGAACATTTTTCTTACTCTTTGTATCATTAGCATCACATTTGCATCTGTATTTATTATGTTTACTAAATCACAAAGAAAACTTAGATAAATAAAAAATACACTTATCTTAAGCTTGGAATATCTTTTTGTGCCTTGGGTATAATTGAAAGGGTAGTAGGAAATAGAGAATAAGTTCAATAATGAATCAAAATGCTGGATATTCAGCAAGATTTTAATAATGTAGAAATGTCATGATTAATGAAAGCACACAGCTGAGTGTGATATGCATCAACCATCTTTACTGTCAGAATCAAAGAACTGAAAACAGTTATTTACTTTACAATAAACATTCTAAACAGAAGTATGTCATTTGATTAATCGCATACAATTATATGGAATGTTCTTCCTCCTTCCTTGATCTCATCTCTCAAAAGATGTAGTATTTAAAACAGGGAACTATTAAAAATCAGGGATTGCTCTCTAACACACCTTTGGAAGACATCTATTTTGAAAGGTATCCTGAATAGAGCTAAAAAATAAATAAAGCATAATTACCTGAAATACTTGAGTAAGAATCAACATAATCCTATGTACACACCTTCCTAGAGTTGTATATGGTTGGTGAGGATATTGAAAAATATACTCTTCACAATTGTCTTGTAGATGTGAACTCCTACTCTTTCAAAGAATTCACAATATGAGATGTTTAATGATTTCATAAACTAGAATAAAAACACATTGGCAATAAAGTTTTATATATCCTCTTTTTATTTTATTTTTTATTATTCATTTTCTCTTGTTAAGATTTGCCATCAAAATCTGTCTTATGTATCTAAAGGCAGAGCAGCATTGTAAGTGTGATTAGCTGTTATATGGAAAAGGGAATTACTCCTGGGCCAAGACTAGAACTCCTAGAACTAAATTAATGTCCGATTCAAAATCATATCTAGATCTAATATCTAATATGCATCAAAGCAGGAAATCTGTAATCATGATTAGCAGAAGGTGCAGACTGATACATTGACCAAACTGTATGATAAACTGGTTAAAAACAATTACACTAAATTTTAAGATCTGTTAAATCCAAGCATATGGAATGGAGACCCCATTCCCTGCTTCAACCAGGCCTTCTAAAGCGAGAGTATGATGATCTGTATAAACGTCTAAGTCTTAAGGCCTGAGACGGCAAAAGATTCTTTGCCCGATGAGTTTCCCTTAAAGGGACACTATAGTCACCAGAATAGCAACAGTTTACTGCATTTGTTCTGGTAAGTATAATCATAACCTTGAGGCTTTTATTCTGTAAACACTGTCTTTTCAGAGAAAATGCTTTGTTTACATTACAGCCTAGTGATATCTTCACTGGCCACTCCTCAGATGACTGGTAGAGGTGCTTCCTGGGGCAGTGCCACACAGTAAGCAGCACTGCCATTCAGTGTCTCCACCCTTTGCATGCAGACTCTGAACTTTCCTCATAGAGATGCATTGATTCAATTCATCTCTATGAGGAGATGCTAATTGGCCAGGGCTGTGTTTGACTTGTGCTGGCTTTGACCCTGATCTGCCTCCTTGACAGCCTCAGCCAATCCAATGTGGAAGCATTGTGATTGGCTCAGACCACCACTTCTTATGATGTCAGCAGACAGCAGGTTAGAGGCAAACAGGGGGCCAGGACCAGCAGCTGCAGACTTGATTACAAGCAAGATTTTACTATATTTAGGGAGGCAAGAGGGGGCCAGAGTGCTAGATGGTGGTTTTAACACTGTAGGGTCAGGAATCCATGTTTGTGTTTCTGACCCTTTGGTGTTCTTTCAAATTAATGGAATACTCTAACATAATCAACTTTAGCTAAGTGAAGTGTTTTTGGTGTATAGATCATGTTCCTGTGAGGCTTACAATGCTCTGCCCTGTAGCAGTTACATAACTTTGTTTATGCAGCTCTAGCCACCCCGCCTTTAACTTACACACACTCCCCACACTTCCTGTAAAGAGATCTCATTTTAAAACTTACTGCACAGTAACTTTAATTTAAAATGTCTTCTCTCCTGCTCTGTTAAATGCCTGTGTGTGATTAAAGTTCAATGAGCAGATCAGGAGATAAGAGTTAAGTACATGGGCTTCAAGGAACAGTATAGAAACATTTATTCCTGACACTGTAGTGTTAACTATTTAGGTCCCCAGCCCCCTTAGATCACTTCAGAGAGGTGACTTTACTCACCTTTTTTCCCACACCTTGCCAGTCTTGCTGCAGCTGGCTCTGCCTCCATGACTGAGATAATGAATCTTGCCCTCGGTCAACCCAATGCTTTCCCTTTGGAAACCATTGGAGGCTATTGCGCATGCTCAACAAAATGAGCCCTGCACCAATCAGCATCTCCTCATAGAGATGCATTGAATCAATAAATCTCTATGGGGAACGTAAAGCGTAGAGTGCTGCACACTACATCATTGGTTTAGGAAGTACCTATAGTGCCCGTCTGAGAACCCTGAAGTATCAATTATAAATTATAACACTGGATGGATGTAGTTAGGACTCAGTCTTGTTAAAGTACTAGAGTCAGCGTAATATATATGTAAATATGGGCCTATATGTGTGGTGTTCAAGTACATCAGTGTAGATAGGACTGTAGCTTCAGGGACTTTGCTATCTAGTGTACTGTGACGGACTGCCTGGCACTCCGACCGGGTACCTCTGTCAATCGCTGCTTCCTAGTACTTGTGAGCACTATAAGCACTGCACTCGAACACTATAACCACCGTAAACCCCACAAACTGCCGCAGCTTGGTTGGAGTCTCACTGTTCTGGACCCAAGACCAGAATCCAGCTTCCAGTTGGTAGACCTCTCTCATTGGCGGATCTGGGGGGGCAACGGGGCAATTGCCCCCTCCCCCGAGATTCTCCCCTGCCGGCTAGTGCAGGGCTGGCATTGTCCAAGTGCCAGCCCTGCCATTTGCCTGTGGACCGGGGAGGGAGATCAGAGCTCTCCCTCCCCGGTCCGCTGGCACCATGCTGATAGCCGGTAGGGGAGGAGAGAGGGCCCGGGAGCTCTGGATTCGCCACTGACCTCTCCTAGTCCAGAGAGTGAAGCAGGCTGCTCTAACAAGAGCAATCGTTGTGGTCCAAGGGAGTATAGTGATTATAGCAATCCCCAAAGTGAATATAGCTGTCCAATCCCCCAAACATGAGCCTAGACTTCATGAAGGGTCAACTTTTAATTTTGACCGACCGACTGCCCGCCCGCCCACATGGTCCCATGCCCCATACAGTTCTAGAGAATCAGGGCTTGCGGTTGGTCTAGCTCGGTAGTTTAAAAATGAACGAACTACCGAACAGAGTCAATAGTCTTACCTTGGAGCTTGAGCTCCTTGTTTGTGGGAACGTTTCCACCGAACAGCGCTTTCCCAAGTGTTGTGGAATTGACTGCAGGCGTGGCTGGAAGTCCAGCGGTGTTCGGGAGTTTCTGTGTCCGTTTTCAGTTCCATGAGATTCATGCCCAAACACTGCTGCCTGCATTCGTGCGAACAAGATGGCCGCCACCTCGTGGTCGTCCATAAGAATTGCAGCCACCCAGATCAACACTAAGAACACTGCGTTGGAAATTGCTTCAAAGTAGCAATTAGGCTTAACAAGCTCCAGGGTGGTCTTCGGTTCGTGCGGCTGTTCGATTCCTGAACCAAATATAAAGTCCCACGAACCAAGTCTGTTCACATAGTTTTTTTAAAGGGCACATAGTCTTTTGGTAAGAGGCTGGCCAGCAGGCCCCTCCAAGAACACGTAACGAGGCTCAGTTCGTCACATGTACATATTTTCAACTCTTCACTGCCAAAAGAAAACAGCTCATAGGCCTTAATGAAATAGCAAATAATATATATATAGACACACTGAACAAAGTTATAAACGCAACACTTTTGTTTTTGCCCCCATTTTTCATGAGCTGAAATCAGAGATCTAAGAATTTTTCTATGGACAGAAAAGGCCTATTTCTCTCAAATATTGTTCACAAATCTGTCTAAACCTGTGTTAGAGAGCACTTCTCTTTTGCCAAAATAATTAATCCACCTCACAGGTGTGGCATATCAAGATGCTGATTGGACAGCATGATTATTGCAAAGGTGTGCTTTAGGCTGGCCACAATAAAAGGCCACTCTAAAAAAGCGTGCAATTAGCATGCTGACTGCAGGAATGTCCACCAGAGCTGTTGCCCGTGAATTGAATGTTTTTTTTGCTGCACCCCCATACATTTTTCTTGCGGTTTCTAAAATGTTTTAGAGGTGTGACACTAGATTGTAAATATATTTAGATAGATAGAGATACACACACACACACATACACACACTTTTTTTAAAGAGATAAAGCCATTTAACTCGTATCGCACATTGCATCGGTTTTGCCATAGTTGTCATTCCCCCCTTATTATCTCAGCCATTTCAATGGTTCTCCAGTGAGGAGCACTGAAGGGCTTTCTGCGCATGTGTAGCAGTCACCACGCCTTGCAAATCAACAGCTCCTCAGACAGGCATGATATTGGCTGGTCCTGCAAAGTTTACAGCACCATGATAAGAAGTGCCGGTAGTGACGAATTGATTGACAGCCTTAGAGATGTCATTAGAAGCAAATTTAAACTGTCTTTTCTTAGGAAAGGCAATATTTACATTTATCAGACTGCAGGGACAAGCTCTTTTCACCAAAACCACTCCATTATGTTATAGTGGTTATGGTGCTTAGAGTTTTCCTTTTTTAGAGAAAAATAAGAACAAATTTGTGCTTTTGTAAAGTGTATTTTATTAACATTTATTCAACAGAACAAAACTAAATAACAATGAATTCAAGTGCATGTAAACTGCAGTAACTATTACTCAAACTGCATGAAGTAGTGCAACTAGTATCAAGGTGCTTTACAAATTAACATATAATAACTATAAATAACTTTTATACAATGAATAAAACTGTACGCTTTAGGTTTCTGCAAGTGCGAACAGATATTGCACACAAAGTGAGAATGGTAGCCTACAAAAACTTAACTATTCTTGCTTTTGCATTTACAAAACCATGAAGCAGAGTTTTAAAGTCAATCTCTTTTGCAATATGATTTTCAATGGAAATCATTGCAAGTCCCACCAATCTCTCTTGAGGCATAGAGGACCAAAGATAATTCTTTATTAACTTTAGCTTTGAAAAGCTTTGCTCCCCACAGGCAACATTTTTTTTTTTTTTTTTTTATCCATGTATACAAGATGCATCCACCTCACCAAATCCATTTCCATCCTAGGGAGTTAGAATGAATAATTAAGTCTAAATAGCATGTCATGTGAATTAGTCAAAATCTTCCCTATGACACTTTAAGTGACAATTTGTGTAGAAGAAGCACAGAGTGTTAAATTCTAAATAACATGTTATTAATTTAATACTTAAAGCTTCTGGTTTATATTTATGTTGATTTATAAATTGAATAGTAATTTGAACAGTTGAAATTTCAACATTAGTATAGACAAGGGGAGCGCGGTTAAAAGAAAAAAAAAACACCAGGTGCTTTACAAAAACCTTTAAAAAAAAGAAGAAAAAAACCACACGCCCACATAACATAAATACTCTTGTACATAGGCTCATTGGATAAGAAAAAACACAACAATAAGCTTCTAATTAGTGGAACCTCTTTCTGGTCTGGGAGGGGGTCTGTCTGTTGCAGCACTTTGCTGTGCAAAAAATAAAATAAAAAATTGCACCAAGATGTAGTTGTGACAACCAGAACTGAGTTTCTAGGGAAGTGCTTCTTGATCCCTATTTCAGGATGTACCATTTTAGTGGATCCCCATTAATGGGGATGGGAGCATATTATTTGTCCTTAAACAGGTCTTTTACCTACAATAATTTAACTGCAGTAACAGATTTGCCTTAACCAATAGCAGTGGTGCCCTCTTTTATACTGGAATATTTTAGTATAGTATACTAATTTTATTATTAGAATTACATTTTCAGAATTGGTCACTGAGACATAAAAAAAAGGCCTCATTGCACTGTTAAATGCAAATCTAAAACAATTTTTATTGAATAGCCTTGACATACATTTGTTCCAAATAAATATGATTTACAATAGAAGACAGAATTTAGGATTATTTCCAGGTCCATTTTTAGCCATAACATCTCATGCTGTTTGAGGTGCAAATGGCAAATAAACATGTGCAAAATACATCTAAATGTGCCCCTAAATATTGCTGCTATGCCAGTACCATAATCATAACAGTGTCCTGGTGCTATAGTCTTACCACCCTCTAATTGGAAGTAGTCAAATAATTTTAGCACAGTCTGCTGAGTATTGATCCCTGCCCTTTGAAGATGAAAGCTCTCTGTCTGAGCTAAGCCTGGTCTGATGATCTCAACTAGTGAGTTAGCCCTGCTTTCTGCACTTAGGGACTTAGCTCACTAGACCTAAAGTAAGCTTGCAAGCAGGAGCTTTCAGGTCTCTGTAGGATATAGTTTTAGTTTATTGGTTTTAATTAATTGCCCACTTAAAAATCACAGTTTTAATGCTAATGTTTATTAAGGATTGTATTCAACCTGTTACAGCTCCTGGCACATCATTGTGGCTCGACACACAGGTTGGATATCACTGACTTGGAATGTCCTGGCACCATATCCCAGTGATGATGTGGAACTGACACCGCTACACTATCAATGTAAATTTCATCAAACCTGGACGACATTTATTGGTTAAGCAATAAAGAAAGCCTGATTTCCAAACTTTCAAGCCCCATTACTGCTGCAAGATAGTTAGTGCTCCATCAGATGATCTTCTGGAATAAGGAAAGGTAGCCTTCTGGAGGACCACACTAAGACTCTACCTTGCACACTATCATTTAATTATAATTTAACCACCCTTTAAATTGACTTTATTTTATACGTTCTTTGTGCAGTGCATATTTTCTTACATTTATGTCTTGTATGTACTACTAAAGTGACGTTTTATTAGCCCTGTATGTAATTGTTTTATTCACTATATCCATATCTATATTTCCCCTCTGATTTCTCCCCTCTGACCCCTCCCTTCTTTTATTGATATCTACTCAAATGTTTTTGTTTGAATAACCATCCCCTCATCTCTGTGCTTAGATGCATATCCCCCTCCCTCAGCTTTATTGCAGGCCTTTATGACCCTCACATATCTATCTTCTACAGCCTGATTTCCAAACTTTCCAGCCCCATTACTGCTGCAAGAAAGTCTGATACCCACCCCACCCCAAGCTCATTATTACATTTATAGATAGTCTGTCACACCCAAATTTTAGATAAGCAGAAACAGCAGGCGTACACACTGCCTCTTATATGTACACTCCTGCACTTCCTTAACCCCATAAAACATAATATTTATCATTCCAACTCCTGGTTTTGATATTCCAATGTATTTATTAATTTTTTCTCCAAATTTACTTTTAGTTTAGCAATGCTCTGTCTTCTCCTCCCCTTCATTTCCTCCTTCTTCCTCAGCATCAAAATTTCTCCTTACAACCACTTTCCTCTTCCCCTCAACAACCTTTACATTTCCCCCTCTCTGCTACACTCCCCCCTTCTCTCAACTCATGCCCTGCACTCATTTTTCTGCTCCCTCTCTCCTACCCATAATTGATCTCATCCTAGATCCCATGCACTTAAAACCCACACACCTCCTGTCACTATCTTTTCCTCGTTCTTCTATCCGCTGGTGATGTCTCTCCCAACCCAGGACCCCCTCTGCATACACTAAGACAACCAGAAACCACACAAACCTCATCACACAGTATG